ATATGAGGCACATTCACCAACCATCAACACCACGAGACTGATCACCAGCACCATCATTAAACGGACTGCTAACAGAGTGCTGAGATTGAAAACTGACTACGCTGATTGACTTTCATGGTGAAAATGCGACTGAGTACCTAGCCGACTATGTCTGCTAGTCTATAAAAGCCTCCAAGAATTGATGGACATGCTATTGCACAGACACTCGACTTCCCCCTACGGTCAAAATGGATGCCCCGAACAGCACGCCGGACCAGGAAAAAGAAGGAGAACAGCAGCCCACTGAATTGCCAATCGTTAGTGAAAAAGTCTATTCACAGGAAGCTTCCGATCATGCACCAATGGTAAGTGGAACGGCTTAACTTCGAATGCTCTTGCTGACCATCGCAGCTCTCTCTTTGGCAACAGGAAGGAGAAACAAGACATATCCTGGCGACTGAGCACTTTCAACCTATTCTGAAGGTGCTAGCAGACCTAGAACGCGACGATCCCAAGTTCGCCTTTCCCGCGGCTCGACTTGTCGGACGCTATCGACGCCTATGGGAGTCATGCGTGTCCAAACACATTGATGGCCAGAAGCTAGAGCAGAGCAATCATATCTTGAAGGAGGCCAGCAGACACCTGACTAAAGAGAGGGACGGACTTCAGCTGCGCCACGACAAGCAGCTGTCTAGGCTGCACTTTTTTGAGCAGGCACTGGAATCATCTCGGGGTCGACTGTCTCGCGTACTCGATGACTGGAATCATCCTTCCAGACTCAATCTGGCAGGGCTGCCAGACATGGCAAGAGAAGGTTAAAGGATTGTATTTTCTTGATTGTCCTATGTCTTACTTTTTCAGCTTGGAAACAATACAACGACGTTGAAATTGGAAGAGAATTACCGCATGGAAAGCAGCTTATATCTTTTCGAGGGTTTACATTGAGAAGGACATAGAATAGCCTTCGTGGAATGTGTCTGCGAATAATCCCGCATGTTCTAGTGTCACTTTTATTAACCCAGTATATTATACACAAAACTACGGATCCAGTGACAATGTGGACAGTGTAGCTAGCGGAGAAAGTGTCGATTGACTCGGCCATCACGCATTCGCATTGCACCATGAGAGCTACCTGAAGTAGATGTCGCTAGCTCTTACAGACCACCAAACCTTCTCCTCGGAGACCGCTTCAACAATCCTTGACGAGTGTTGTCGTCTTCCATTCTGCTTCGAATGGCCTTCTGGATGCAATTGTTCCTTGTTAGATCCAGGGATTTTGTCAAACTGAAGTATTTCAGTCTGGGATTGACCACAAGTGCATCAACAATCGAGGAATGCCCGCCCTTGACCGCCAACATCAATGGATCCTCAGACCATCGATTTCCGAGGTTCACATCAATTCGATCATGGCGTAGTAGTGCCTGGACCATCTCCAAGTCACCGCCACGGGCGGCAATGCAGAGAGCAGTGTCGTGAGTTGCGATCATGCTTTCATTGATGTTCAGACGTGCGCCTTGCTGCACTAAGAGTCCTACAACATCGAGATGGCCATGTGCAACCGCTCGACAAAGGGGCGGATCGATCACGTCCCTTCCCTTGATCTCCACGCTCTCTATACTCAGTAGACAAGCAACTGTGTTCACGCGTCCGTGATATGCGGCCACGGAGATTGGAGAGTGGCCTGCAACACAGAGATTCAGACGGATCCCTGGCACCGCAAGCAGCCGTCGTAGGAGCACAGTATCCAATCTGGTGGCGGCGTGGTGTAGAGATGTAGACGGCGTCTCGAATCTTCCGCGGCCTCCAACAAAATTAACGTTGATGTCTTTCTCGGCCAACAGCCTTTCGGTTATCCCGTCGCATGACGAGTAAATCGACAGCCACAGTGGCGTATTGCCATGTTTGTCTTTGCAGTTCACGTTGGCACGGGGGTGACTTAGGAGCAAATTGACCATTTCCAAGCGTTTGTTTTGAACGGCGAGATGGAGCGCCGTAGAGCCTTTTCGGTTCTGGATGTCCAAATCCAGATCTTTTTGCCTGAGAAGTCTTTTGACAGCCTCTACTGACCCATAGGCCACTGCTTGGTGAAGAGGTAGCTCAGCCTCTTGTGATGATTTGGTACCAAGAAACACCTTGGCCATCGGATCGTTTGAAAAGATCATTTCCATCACGGGTCTATTGAAGCGACATGCCCAGTCCCATGGCGAGTGGCCCGAATCGTCCTGTAGATCAGGCTCGCTGCCACTAGAAAGTAGCAGATGCACGAACCCTATTCTGCCTGCGAAGACTGCTAGGCGGAGCGCCGTTCGGCCGTGTTTGTGCTTGACGTCCACCTGGACGTCGGGTTGTTCTAGAACGCGCTTGACGGTGGAAAAAGTTCCGTAGTGGATAGCATACCACAGGGCGCTCTCCCGCGCTTGATTTTGAATGTTGATGTCTAGGTCTCGATGATTGAGCAAGAGTTCGCGCACACCAGGGGAAAAGTATTTCAGCGCCCGCATTAAAGGAGTTTTGCCTCGGTAAAATGCATTGATGTTGGCGTTGTGCTGGAGCAAAGCCTCCGCAAGACCAACGTTGTCGTATTTGACGGCCAAGTGCAACAGATTGCTGTTCTGAAATTTGATGTTGTATTTCCAGATGCTGGGCTGCAGTTTAAAATCAAAGTCTTTGCATGATTTTGTGAGGGCAAATAATGCACTACCGTCCAAATACGACACAATCCACAGCAAAAGCTCGTTGGGCAGCTCTGTAAGGTTTCGCTGTAATGCATTAGCTCATCGGTAAAATCAGCAAGAAATTGAAACAGACCATGATTGGACAGGATTGGAGCTAGGAAGCAAGTGAAATGTAAATGAGGGTGAGGTTTGAAAGTTGGGCGCCTTATATATCTCGCCTCAGCTAAATTCTGCGGTCAGCTAGAAGTGTAGCCCGTCACTCCGCTGAGGCGCGTAGCAATCACGCAGCAGCATCAAAGCCTTGACAAGAATGTTTGGGCGGCGTTGAAGAATCTCTGGAGTCTAGCTCCCGGGAACGCCAAATCACTTCCTGGCTATG